TCCCTACTAGCCGTATTCCGGCCTGACTTTCTGTAGCCGACGTCTAGGATCATCGGTTACCCGGACTGTCCAGGCAACCCCCCGTTAGGATGGTCGGATCTCGACCGCGATTCGTTCCTTGGGTGTACTAGGTGTCCCCGAGGACGCAGTTTGAACCTTTTTCCGCTACGACCCTTGGTTCGGAAGTTCGCAAATTGTCCGGTGAACCGTGTGTCTGGATAATCGGATTTCGTTCGCAATCGATTCTTGGGCCCTATCTACCTTCCCTGAGTACGCAGTTTTGACCCCTTTCCGTTCCGACGTTCGGTTCGCGATTTCGTAAGTTGTCCGGCAAACCCTATGTTTGCGCGCTCGGATCGCGCTCGCGATCGATTCCTGGGGTCTAGCTAATCTTCCTGAGTACGCAGATTCGGTCCTTCTCCGCTCCGACGCTTGGTTCGCGATTTTGCAACTTGTCCGGCAAACCGGATGTTTGCGCGTTCGGATCGCGTTCGCGATTGGTTCCGGAGGTCGGTTATGCCTCCCTCTGCATACAGCTTCCGCCGTTTGGCGCTACGGCGCCGCGTTCGCGATTTCGCCATTTGTCCGGCAAACCCGGGGTTTGCGCGTTCGGATCGCGCTCGCGATTGGTCCCAGGGGTCGGTTAGGCCTCCCTCTGGGTGCTTTCGCCGTTTGGCGCTACAGCGTCCCGTTCGTGTTTTTGCCGGTTTGCAAACCCCGTGTTTGCATAATCGGATCGTGCTGGTTTTTTGTGGATTCCCCTTTTGGGGATCCCAGGAGTCGGCAGTTCGGTTCTTACTCGCGTAGAGCGCGCGATACGTGCACTAAGCGCCCGCACTCTGAAGATTGTGTGTGACTCGACCATCTAATGTATTGGTGCATTTTCGATCCACGCACCTGTTGAAAATAAACATAATTCCCTATTCTCATGGTCGGTCCGGGCACCGTCGTGCCAAAAGAAACTATAAGATCTGTGGATCGCGAAGAAATAATCTTATCAACTAATCGAGCCGCTGCTCGGCGACTGCTGTCGCATATCTTAATATGAATTGCGCCGGACGGGTGAAATTGATGACTTTATTAAACCCAAATAATGAATCATAAAGTGAAAATAATGAAAATCGCCTCGACTCCGTCCTCGGAGCGCTCACGCAACTTAAAACTATTCGGGGATGTCCCCCTCGTCTACGGAGTCGTCTTCCCCGCTAAATGGGCTGGAACTTGCCGCTGGGCTCATCCTTCTGGTTTGTCGCTGTTCCGCGCGGCACCGCCCTCCATGTCAATGGCGGTTGGTCGACCCGGCGCGTGCGGTTGCACGGTACACTGTCGATGACCATGGAGTCATCCGGTATCAGCTTGAATTGCTTGTTTCCCAGCATCGTGCTTTTCTCGCCGAAATGCACTCCGTAAATGGTGTCGATCTCCTTGTTTTTGTCGTCACCCAGAAAAGCGCCCAAGTATTCCCGCCCTAACTGTCCCAGTTGGCTCGTCAGAACGTCGCCACTTTCCGCCGTACTCAAAGATTTCCCGGCGGACATCTCCAACGTGGGAGGCGGAGTCGTCGTCTCCGAGACAATCTCGCGTTCTCTGGGTAAAAACTGGACCGAATCGTCGCGGATCGGCGTAAAGCTCATCATGGTCGTCGTCGCGGGAGTCGAACTCAGCCGTGCCGGACGCGACTTTCTTTTTTCTGCCGTCGTGGTTGTCCCGATTGGCGCGAATACGTCGTCGTCCTCCCCGTAATCGCGCTCCAGGTCGGCGTCAGCGTCGTCGTCGTCGTCGTCGTTGCCGTTCTCGCTGTCTTTCTTCGCTCTCTTCGTCGCTTTCATCTTTTTCGCGAACGCAAAGCCAGCGCCGTCGTCGTCGTCGATCTTGCCCGGTCCTTTACCCCTGCGTTCCACGTCATCGGCGAGCCGTTTCAGAGGTTTGACGATAGGCTCGTACCTCTTTTCCAGAGCGATCTCGCTCTCCATTTTTCCGGCCCTGAGAGCGGCGTACTTCCTGCGAATCGAGGCGCGCGTCTTGGCTATCTCTCGCGCGCTTCTCTCTTCCGCGATCGCGCTCATACTCGCGTCGTTCGGCGAGGCGCACTGATCGGCCCTACAGCACGGCGAAGTCGTGGAAGCCCCGTCTGTACCGTCCGCCTCGCAACGCGCTGTCCTTGTCTATCACGGCGAAACCGTAGGTGGGCCGCCAACACTCGCGACAGAAGGCGCGAAACTCGTCGTACGACATGTCGATGTTCACGTGATCGTCGTACACGTGTCGCAGATTGGTGCCGTCCTGCCTGAACAGGATCAGCAGATTTGCGTTATCGCGCACGAGATGATTCGGTATCTTGGCGTACGTCTGACAGAGATAGAAGCAATTGATATTTGAATGTCGGCCCATAAAAAGGTACTCCTTCATTCTTTCCTGCTTGTCGCAGGCCACGTCGTCGAAGACGAAGACCGAGTCGGGAAGCGCCTCGTCGGACGACGTCGCGATTGTCGGAAAACGCGTGATAGCCGATACTTCGGTTGTTGCAAAGATTTTGAGTACACGTATACGTTCTCGAAACGGAGACCGTGCGGTTGTTCCAGCAGGCTCAGCAGAACGTTCGTCTTACCGCAATTGGAGGGACCGCAAATGATGCAACAGACGACGTTCGGAAGGAGAGGACCGTGCCGGCGCGATACTCCGTTTTCTCTCTCGGTCGCGTCCGACCCCGCCGACGTTCTGCGATTCAGATTCGAGACTCCTAACGTCGCCGTCTGTCGCACGAATTGCATGTTTGCCCTCTCTCTTTCTCTCTCGGGTTTTTCCGCTCGGTTCGTTCGCGATGAGTCTCTCGATCGCCGAAAAAAAGGGAGGGAAGCGCGGACGTCGTTTCGTTTCGTCGCTCGTGCGCAAACGCCTCGCGCGCGGGTATAAGTAGCGCGAGCGTGTCGCCGTATCCGTAGAAAAAAATTTATTTTCTAAAATCAACGAATCGTTCGCGCGCATCGGCGTCTCACAGAGCTGTGTTTCCCATACTGGTGGACAGTTACGAAATTCTCAATCTAACGGCGGAGGAGTTGCAATAAGTTCCGAAGGTCCTTCTGTTGCGTCAATTTGGGAGATACGTGCACCTGTTGTGGGACTGTTTGCCGGAACATATACAGGCGGATCCCGAGGTGCAGAAATATCGCCCGTGCATGCGACACTACAATCGTCCGTGGCAGCGAACGCACATAGACGGTCAGCCGCCGCCCATCAAGGACTGCCATGAGTGCAATCGCTTGCCCCCTGTGAACGGTGAATCATCGACTTCCCGTTCGAACTAAGAAAAAGCGAATCCTCCTCGCGCAACCGCGACCGAATGCGCGGCACCGGTCTGCTCAATCGCGCGATAAACGTTTTTCCCTTCGAGCTGCACATACCCGGTTATCAGTTTTGCGTGCCCGGTACGCGTCTAGCGAAGAGACTAGCGCGCGGCGAAGAAGGCATCAATCTGTTGGACGCGGCGTATCGAGAGCACGACGTCGCGTATTCGCGAAACGGCGAGCTCGCCGAGCGACACGTCGCCGATCGACGGCTCGCCGAGAGGGCGCGCGAGCGCGTCACCGCGAGGGATTCCACGGCCGGTGAGAGACTCGCCGCGGCGGCCGTATGGGCGGCTATGAAGACGAAGACGAAGCTGGGCATGGGTATGGAACGCAAAAGGCAAACGAGAAAAGGAACGGGATTGAGGAGAAGCGCGAAGACGAGAAGGAAGAAGCGGTGGATACTTCCGACGGCGAAACGCGGCGGCTTCTTGCCCTTTCTACCTATGTTGGCGGCGTGGCCAAAGCGGTGAGCGCCTACAAAGCGGCGCAAAAACAACTCGACGAATTGCAGCGACACAATCGCGCGATGGAGGGTCGCGGGTTGTACCTCGCGCCGTATAAAAAGCGCGGAGATGGCGCGAGGAGAGTCGTTAAAAAAAAAAAACCTCGCGGAAGAAGGCGACGTTAGCGCATCTACCTCCGTACGGCGTCACGACTAATGAGCAGCTCGATCGATCGGCGCGTCGCCTGCGCATACCGTTCTTCCGCGGGGTGTTTATGCGCGACGCTCTGCCAACGAGGGTGCGACGCGCGGAGTGCGGCATCGTGAATCTCGACGACGCTGTGGGCCCGGGCACGCATTGGGTCGCTTACACGAAAAAAGGGAACTCGGCGATCTACTTCGACGCGTTTGGAAATCTCCGTCCGCCGAGGGATCTCGCGCGGTATCTCGGCGACAGTGGCGGCGAGAGCACGGTCGTGACGTACAATCGTTGCGCGTTCCAGACATTCGATCAGAGAATCTGCGGACAGCTGTGCCTGCGATTTCTTCGCGAGATCGATTGGGGGAGCGGCGTACGATCGACGTTCTCCCGCGATGTCGCTGACGCTCACATTGACCGGGACCAGCAGCGTTCTCACGGCGAGTCACATTCCCGCTTTGGATCTGAGCGATGGCGAATACGAGCTGGGTTTGGCGACTTTTGAGACGTACAATTCGATACCGAACGTTACGTCCGCGAACAATTGCTTCTACTACGGCGAGGACGACAGGAAAATCGTCGTTCCTGAAGGTTCGTACGAGCTGCGAGCCGTGAGCAGATATCTGCGCGCCGCTCTTTTTTATCGCGAACGTCGCGCCCGCGAGAGAGACAAAATTAAAGAGAAATGAGGAAAACCGCAGACCGATGACGCTGCACGGGTAAAAGAAAAAACCAAACGAAGAAAGACGAAGCCGACGACGAGGTTTATCACGTATACGAGGACGAAAACGACGACGACGACGATGGCGACGGTTATGACATATACGGGGACGACGACGGTGGCGATAGAGTGCTCGATCTTCGCGCCAACGAGAATACCATGAGGAGCGAGATAAAGTGCGCCTAGCGAGTGAATTTTACAAAACCGAACATCGGTTCTCTTTTGGGTTTCTCGAACGATCGTATCCTAAAACCGAACAAATGGTACGTTTCCGACGGACCCGTTGACGTCATGAGCGTGAACATAATTCGCATCAAGTGCAGTATCACCGCGGGAGCGTACAGCAACGGACGCTCGGTGCACGCGATACACGAATTCGCGCCGAAAGTTCTACCGGGATATAAACTGTCGGAGACTCCGACGCAGATCATTTACCTCTCGATCGTCGCGCGAAACATCACCAATATCACGGTGCAAGTCGTGGATCAGAAAGATCGGCTGATCGACTTTCGCGGCGAGAAGATAACGATTAGACTGCACGTACGTCGTCGTCACGGTTAGTGTGCGTGCGTGCGTGCGTGCGTGCGTGCGTGCGTGCGTGCGTGTGTGTCCCTGAAGAGACAGCGGGAGGAGGGATGCTCGTTCTGAACGGATCTAGCGCGAATTGTACGAACGAGCGAGCTAGCACGTTCTACGACGAAATCGAAAGCGTAAGGAAGAAAAGAGGCGGAGGAGGAGGGAGAGCCGTTCTCAGCAACGCCAACGTCAGGTTTTTACGATCGCTGAGTCTCGCCGTGAGAAACGCGTCACCGCCGCGTCGTTTCTACTTCGAGAGGAAAAACCATGGCCGACATCCTGAGTATCGGCGGTGAGCCGATCTTCGACGAGCGCATCGTCGGAATCGACTCACACGTATAACCCGTACGTCAACACGACGTTCGGTCACAACGACGAGATACGAATACCCATACAGCAGCAGGATCTGTATACGCTGCCGTGCGACAGTTTCCTGTACGTCGAGGGACGATTCAATGACGACGGCGCGACGAATGAGGAACAATACGCGAAATTAGTCAACAACTGCGTCGCGTTTATGTACGACGAAATTCGATACGAACTCGACGGCGTGGAGATCGACCGGTGTAGAAACGTCGTCATAACTAGCACGATAAAGAACTACGTGTCGCTGACCATCGAACGAGCCAGAAGACTGCAGAACGCCGGATGGAGTTATCCGACGAGCGAATCGAATCTGAACAACGCGTCTTATCAATTCAATTTTTGCGTACCTTTGAATATTCTTTTGGGTTTCTGCGAGGACTACAGACGCGTGGTAATAAACGCGCGACACGAGCTTATCCTACGCTCTCGTAGCGACCACAACTGCGTCGTAGATCCGAAGAAGACCGTGCCGAGAGATCCGGCCAAGGATCCTAAAATTACGTTGCTGAAGGTGCAATGGCGTATGCCTCACGTGGCGCTAAACGACGTGACTAAATTATCACTGTTGCGAACGTTGGAGAGCGGACGTTTCTGACCGCGGGTTTTCGCTCTTGGGACCTGTACGAATTTCCCCTGCTGCAGAGCACGACCAAGCATTCGTGGGCCGTGAAAGCCGCGCCGCAATTGGAGAAGCCGCGATACGTCATATTCGCGCTGCAGACCGGACGACAAAACGAATTCGCGGGCGACGCCTCGAGGATCGATCATTGCGCTCTCGCCAACGTGAAATTGTATCTCAACTCGGAATTCTATCCCTACGACGATGTGAACGTGGATTTCGAGAGCGACAAGTTCGCCGTGCTGTACGAGATGTACGCAAAATTTCGAGGAGCGTACTACGGGGACAGTCGCGACGACGCGCTCTTCTCCCCGCGCGAATTCGCGCGGGTAGCTCCGCTCGCGGTGATCAATTGTTCCCGTCAAAACAAATCGGTGAAGAGCGCCACCGTGGACGTGCGCATCCAGTTCGAAAACAAGGAAAACGTTCCGCCGAAAACCACCGCCTTTTGTCTCATCGTTCACGATCGCGTCATCGAGTACAGTCCGCTGACCAACGTGGTGCGCAAAATTATTTAATGGAAATTGCGGTTGTGAGAATACCTCATCCGGGAAACAGAAAATGCGATTGTGAGGGTACCTCACCCGGGAAACGGAAAAATGTGATTGTGGGGTTGTTTTATCCCGGAAACGAGGAATATATAAATTCGCGGGTTCCTTCCATCGTTCCTCAGACTCTCTCTGTTAGAAACGAGCTACTTAAACAAACGTCTATTCTCTAATTTTTTCCAACTCGCGCTGACGCAATGGCAACAGCGGCAACGACGACGACGATCTTCGTCAACCTACAGGGATTCACGGTGGGCGACAGATTCGTCGCGAAGGAGGTGGCCGTGCTGCGAAGCGAGACGCGCGTGCTCGCGCATCCCGTTTTGCGCGCCGATGAGTTGGGATCTGCTGACGAGCTCCGAGAAAGCAAGGGCCAGTTGGTTGATTGCAAACCATCACGGCTTTCGTTGGGAGGACGGTGACACAGCCTATCGCCAGGCGAGGACGATCATTCGACGCGCGGTGTGCGACAACCTGGAAGAGTCGTGGGAGACAGAGGAGACGCCCAGCGCGCGAATCTACGTAAAAGGTCTCGAGAAGAAGAGATGGCTGCAGGAGATTTTTGGCGACGTCGACGCGACGATCGTGACCGTCGACGCGGAGTACGACGACGTCGATCGGTTGGAGTTTCTTCGCGCCGATCGCGCGTTTTGCTGCCGGCGTCACCAACGGTGCTGCGCCATGGAGAACGTGATGAAGTTGCGCGATTGGTGGATCGAGCGACACGAATGTCTCGCCAGCATCGACTCCGCAAATTTAATGTAAAAAAACATTATATATTGCTCGTTTAACATAATTACATTTTTTAATGTATTGATCATTTTTTCTTATTGTATTACTCGTTTTTTAAACAAAACAATTTCCGTCGCCAGCAAATAATTCAAAATAAGTCGTTTTATTTTCGACCCAACTGGCCAATTAAAACAATATTGCACGACGTTTCGACCGAATTCCGGTCTTTATCAAGTGCTATTAATTTAAGTTACACCGATCCGCATAACAAATTGCATCGTTGACGTGGTGTCCTGACAACGTCAAGACAAACGCAAAACTAAACAATAGAGAAAATAATACATTTCACAATAGAAAAACTATACAAAATCGTTACAATATCACGCTGGTCAAAAACAATAAAATTAATTAACACTGTAAAAATTAGTTAAAAGCTTACAATTCTTATGCGTTCCAAAACAAACGGTGAAATCAAAACGTCACCAGCCATATCGAGGCACAACGTCCGAACAGTAAGACAGTCAAAGTCGAAATGAAGTTGTCAAACGTAATCCGCGGATAGCAAACGGCGCTCTGATGGAAAAACGAGCAGAACCGAATATACAGGGCCGACTAAGTGATACCTATGACCCGGTTATAAATAGATGGCAGGCTCTCAGTATCGTTTTGTAAATTGACTGTGCAATCATGTTTTTTAATAAAAAACATTTCCGATATTTCTCTTTTTTTGAAATGTTTTTCTTTGTATAAAATTTTTGGATGTTGCCACTTGAAATCATGATTGTGTGTAAGGCGATGTTTGCTCACAACAGAATGATTATCTACATTTTTCCTAATATCACATCGATATTCTTTGATGCGTGTTTCTAAATGCCTTTTTGTCTGGCCAATATATACCGCATCACAATTTGCACAATCAATCTTATAAACTAACTCAGTCTGACTGAGACTCGGCAACGCGTCCTTACCCTTCCTAATGACACAATCCAATCTCTTCGGGATGGTGTGAAGAACTCTAAAGTTCATGTCTCGCATTGTACGGCTAACATTCTCGCTAAGGCCCTTTATGTAAGGTACAGTAATGCACCTTCGAGGATCTTGGGCCACTTCGCTACTGACAGGATCATTGTTGTTACGATTTCGCAATTCGCCAAGTCGGACATTGACATATTTATCAACAATTTTCTTCGGGTAACAATTATTAATAAGAATCTTTTTTATTTCACTAATATTAGAATTGTGAAACCGCGCGTCGGACAAAAGAATCGCCCGATCAACCAAATTCCTTACGATGTTAATTTTGTATTTCATAGGATGGTTTGAAAAATAATTTATGTACCGGCCCGAGAAAGTTGGTTTACGGAACCAATTCGTGAGCAATGAACCTCCCTCGCAAATGACCGTGGTATCAAGGAAACTCAATTTACCGTTGCTTTCTACACGGAGAGAAATGTGTTTTGATTATCGCACGAGTTAGCCGATG